ATCCCAGGGGAAGGATTTTAAGGGCAGTAAATGAGTTAACTTGGAATAATATACACTGGAGTTGAAGAGCAGGGGTGTGTGTGTGTGTGTGTGTGTGTGTGTGTCAAGGATTTTAAGGACAGTAATTGCGTTAACCTGGAATGTACATTGGAGTTGAAGGGCAGGTGTGTGTGTGTGTGTGTGTGTGTGTGTTCAGGAGGCTCAGGCAGATAGGGGTAGAGAGTTAGCCAGGGCCTGGGGAGGGAGCAGCATTAAGAGTGGGCATATCATGAGTCAGAGAAAGACAAATACCATATGGTCTTGTTTATATGTGGAATCTAATGAACAAAATAAAATGACAAATAAAATAGAAACAGAGGCATGGATACATGAAACAGGCTGATAACTGTCAGACAGGAGAGGAACTGGAGGCTGGATGAAAGAAGATGAAGGGATTAAGCAAATATGACACAGACACAGACAACAGTATGGTGATAGCCAGGAGGATAGGGGAGTGGAGGTGGGCAAAAGCAGGGGCGGGGGCGGTGATTGGGACAAAAAGAGACTTTATTTGGGGAGATGACTGCACGATGCAATGTGTGCAGATGATGTTTTGTTGAGTTGTACACTTGAAGCCCGTATGGTTTTGTGAACTGTCACCCCAATAAATTCAATAAAAAAGGAGTAGGTATCATATCAACAGGTTTGGGGTTAACCCCCGACATGCTCCTGGCCTCCAAGGTGTGGAGTCCTAGAGCTGGGCTGTGAGTGGCTGCAAGGGCTGTACCCGGGCCACTGTCCTCACCCTGAGGCTTCAGTTTTCTCAGCCAAGACCACGTTGCTGGTGCCAGCAGACCCCCCAGCTCCCAGCTGGGCTTCAGGGACCAGGCCTGCCAGGCGGGGTGACTGCAGACAGTGGGTCTGGAGCATGTTAGGAATGTGTTTCCCCTTGTGGAACCGAAAGCATTTTTTCCTCAAACCCCACTCTCCACGGAGAGAGGGCCTCTTCCACCGTGAGATCTGGTAACAGCTCAGGCTCAGGCCCACAGTTCTCGAGTGTTTGACACTCACTCAAGTGACCGGGGTGACCTGGCTTCGGCAAGACCAAGCACTCTCCTCTGACCTGTGTCTTGAGCCATCCCAAGCATGATTGCTTTCCGCCTGTCTTAAAGGCTACCCTTCTGCTTGTGCACGTGTGCATGCATGTGTGCGTGCGTGTGTATGTATGTGTGAGTGAGTGTGTGTGTGTGTGGTGGGGGGAGTAGTTCCTTCCCTCTCTCAGCCCTATAATCCCTTCTCTCTCTCTCCTGTATTCCGCCTCAGTTTATCCATTCACGTGTCCCATCTTATGCAAAGAACTGCCTTGCCCTACACCCCTCTTCTCTCCCCAGCTCCCACCCTGTTACTTCCTTTGTAGCAAAACTCCTTAAAAGAGTTGTCTTTCTTGGCAATTTTTCATTTCCTCACTCGTATGAGCAAATGGGAACCTATTTCAACCAGGCTTTCATCCTCACCCTAATCTGTTCCGGTCAAGGTCACCAACAACTTTATCCTGCGAAATTCAGGGTCATGTCTCCGTCCTCATCTTGCTCTTCTGCTCAGCAGCGCTGGGAAGAGTTGATCACTCTTTCCTTTATTTTTAAATGTTTTATTATGGAAAAGTGTTCACATACACAAAAATCAGAGCCTCATGAATCTCCATGTACCCTTCACCCAGCATCAGTGGTAAGCGCTCAAGATCTCCCCTGGCTGGAGAGTCTTAAAGCAAATCCCACCTTCCTGGTCTTTCACCAGTAGCGTCTTCCATATGAACTTCTAGCTGATACGTTGTTCACCCCTTAACCCATTCCGTCAACACACCTACCCAGATGAACAGACTCTCCTCAACCTCCCCTAATGCCCCGTGCATATTTGAAATCCCCTGATGTCTTTCTGCAGCTGGTTTGTTCAACCCAGGTGCAACCAAGGGCCACCGATTGCATCTGGTTGTGTCAAACCTTCCATTCTCTACACCCTCTCTCCCATCCCCCATACCTTTGATTTGTGGGAGAAACCAGCTTGTTTGCCTAACGGCCTGTCCAGCATTCTAACTTGGCCGGTGCTTCTCTGTGGCACCTTTGAACTCATTCTTGTGTGCCCGGAGTTTACTGTCAAGTGTGCTGGAGCCGGGGCCCCCTCCTTCCTTTTTGAGTTCCTTCCTTTTCCTGGCTCTAGGGACACAGGCTCTCCTGGTTTTCTTCCTTCCTCGCTGCCACTCCACTCCTCCGGCTCAGTCTTCCTTTTGAATTCTCCTCCCGCTCCCTTGGATCTCCCCTGACCTCCACTTGCTCCCACTGAGGTTTCAGCCGATCCCTGCCTTAAACACCATCCATGCTGGTCAGAGCAGCCCACCCGTCCTCGGATGCTCCAGATCTGTCCCCTGCGTGCAGCCCTATGTGCCCACATCACACCTCACTCCCAAGGAGCTTGGCCCGGATCCTCCCTCTTCACTCACTCCCCTCCCCCTCCCCTGCTTTATTTTTTCTCCAAAGCACTTATCCCTACCTGACGTCCACTATATAAATTCTTTTTTTAATCCTCACGCCAGGATATTTTCCCATTGATTTTTAGAGAGAGTGGAAGAGAGAAGGAAAGACAGAGAGAAACATCGAGGTGAGAGAAACACATAGAGTGGTTGCCTCCTGTTGGCACCCCGACCAGGGCCCAGGCCAGGGAGGAGCCTGCAAACCGATGTACTTGCCCTTAACCGGAATCAAACCTGGGACCCTTTGGTCCACAGGCCAACTCTCTATCCACTGAGCCAAACTGGCTAGGGCTCCACTATATACATTTATCGTGCTGATATCGGTTGCATTTGAAAAGGGAAGGCTGACAGTTCAGTTCGGCCCCTTTGAGCTCTGCGTTTGGAGGGGAGGGAAGAGGTAGCCAGAAGTGACCCTGAGGCCTGGTGTGTGGTGTGGCCCACACAGTAGTACTTACTGCAAAGTAAGATTACAGAGGAGTTGTGCTGGGTACTAATCCCTCATAAGCCGGAGAGCAAACGTTTGTTTGGGCCTAACCTTTGATTACCTACTAGGTACTCCCTGGAGGCAGAGTGCAGGAGGGTTCCCGGCCTGAGGGCTGTAATTATTTCCAGGCTGCAGGGCCACACCCTCCCCAGGTGAGACACAGTGTGAGGTGCTGAGACCAGCTTCCCCCATTCCAGGGACTCAATTCTCCCGGCACAGGAGTCACCTGGGGGGCTTGTGTAAACTAGGTGTGCCCAGGCCCCACCTCAGAAAGTTTAGTTTGTCCTGGACCTGGGGTTGTTGAAATCTCCAGGAGGCTCATTTGCAACCAGGATGGAGAGCCCAGCTTTGGCGGCTTGAGAGGGGCCGGGCTGGTTGTCAAGGCTGGAGGATAGTCAAGTGTCCAGGAATCATCCTCTGCCGAGAAAACCTGTGGGCTGCCTTCCCACAAACAGGCTCCCCCATGCCTGCCACGGAGCGGGCTGAGACACCTGGAGATGGGCCCGCATGGAGGTCACTGGATGGACCTGAGTCTCCCCGCACC